GGTTAAGCAGACTATGATTGGAGAAGTCCAGCATAAGTCACCAGAGAAAAGTATGTTGTTTCACTGAAAATTGAGTAATGACAATTTAACTAAAGTGAATATTAAATAAAACGTAATTTTTAAACAAACTTCTCTCTGTTAATGTATGCCAGACTTCTATCATTCACTTAAACCCCTGCATTTTCACATTCTTCTGTCTCCGTTTTTGAATCCAATTTCAAAATCAAATCACAACCCATGGATAGAACTAAGTCCCGCCCTATTTTTTTATTCTTTTATCCATGATCCATTATACTCAAATGTATTTCGGAAGAAAAGGTCTGTCACTACTTCAGTCTCACTGCAAATTTAAAAATTACAAATATTATATGCGTGGATGAATCATTCACAATAAAATCAATAATATGCATTTAGCAAATAAATAGTGGGAATTTAAATTTAATACTGACTTTAAGTTGGACACAGCACACCCTAATTATTATATTATTAAAAAAAAGTACCTGTAATTAAATTTTTACTATGAACACTGTCTAATAAGACAACAAAGAAAACATTTACAGGTTGTTCAACATGAAAGACAAAAGAAAAACACAAATAAGGGCATACGTGATGACTCTCTGTGAGGCGATGATGCAATCTGGTTGCCCATTTTTGTAGACAAGTCTGGCGTTGGATTGTACCCAAACCCAGATGTTCTGTTTTGTCAACAGTCTGAACACAGTCAACCCACTTTCACCCGTCCTCATCACTGCAGGGGAGAGAAATTATTAAACTCATTTGAAAAATCAGCAACTGATTTTGCTACCATTAATAATAATAGCAGTACATGCTTTTGATAGCAGTCTCCTTTTAAAAGATCAAAGGCAGGTAGATGTATATAGTATATGTATATTTGTCACTGGTTCTCATGCCTCAAGCAAGCATATTTGAGTTGCATGTGGGTTGATCAATGTTTATTCATGAATGAAAGCCTAAGTTAAATCTGTTCATCATATAAAGAGATCATGTCATATTTTTATTGTCTTTTGTACTTTTAGGAGTGTGAAAATTATAGTTGTGTGGACTTTAATGAATGGATAAATATGTTGAGAGAATACAAAACCAATCTTAGGTCATTTGTGTTTTGAATATCTTAAAAGTTTTGGAACAACATGAGGTTTTCATTTTTGGGTGAATGGTCCCTTTAGGAGCAATACAATTATTTCCACAACGGTTAGACTTCTACTTTCTGACACAAGCAATGTTGAAACCCAGTGGTGGGAGCGAGTGAGGTGAGTGTATTTTCTTTTATCCACATTGATTTAAGGGAGTCTTACTCCGTATGTGGTTCTCGGCGCAGTAGAGCATGTCAGCTGCATGGATGAACTGATAGCCTGAGCCACGGTAACACAGCTCTTCCTCCGTGTAGCCAAGAACAATCTTCCCTCTGTGGAGAAACAAAAAACACATGATTTTCAATGTGAGAGATACTGATGGTGAGAAAGCAGAGGAATACTGCACCAAATCACAAGGCAATCATTAAAAACCCAAACATACTAATCCAAGTTCTTTCATGACAACTCTCGGAGGGATTGGCATGGTAATGAGAGAACCAATCAGCTGTGCCATGTGATGATGTCATTAGGTCAGATTGAGTTAGACCTATCGAACTGCGCCATCTAGAGTTTCATGCCAAAACTCTGTGTATATATATATATATATATTTTTTTTTGTTTGTTTTTTTGTTTTTGTTTTTGTGCTAGTCATTCATCTTTAACTTTTAACTTAACTTAATTTTTAACATTTCACAAATCAAATGAGATAAAATTGCCTCTACAAGTCAACTGAAATAAACTAAAGTGAAAAACAAACAAGCAATAAATCCAGGAGTTTCTTCACACATATTGATAGGAGCTTATACTGTATGTCTTACATTGCGTCACACGCGGTGGGCGTGAAATCCAGCTTATGCTTGGTTTTGAAAAAGCAGCTCTTGGTGCGGATCTCCAGTATGGAAGGCGGCTGCAGAGGGCAGGCCAGGGCAAACAGAGCCAGCTGAGGAGGGACGGGTTTCCCATCTGCTGTCCTCTCATTCTGCCCATACAAGAACTTCAAACGCCCCTGAAAGTTCACGGCCTATAAGAATACAAGCCATATATTTAACACATTTGAACCTATGTAAATACATTCCACAGCATTTAGCTAATTTTACCCATAAATATACACAGAAAATGTGATTCCATCTGGGCCTTCTCATGATATGACACCAGGCCTTGCTATCTTTTGATCACTTCCTTTATGAAATAAGCAAGACTGTGACCTCTCTTTGAACCTAATATATAAATAAGATACATGATTTAAGAATAGCTGTTTGAGCTGATTATACTAAAAGACTAAATTATTAAAATGTGTATTATTAAAATTATTAATGATTAAAGTGCTAATAAAGTGCTAAGTGGTGCTAACAGGGATAGTTCACCCAAAAATGAAAATTGTCATCATTTACTCACCCTCAAGTTGTTCCAAACCATTGACTTTCATAGTATGGAAAATATACTATGGAAGCCAATGGCTACCATCATCAACTGTTTACTTACCAACATTCTTCAAAATATCTTATTTTGTGTTGTTTGAAAAGTCTGATAAAGGTAACTTTTGAGATAGGAAGTCTACATGTAGAAATGATCCAGCAGAGGCAGTTAACTGAGAAACATCTCAACAGGCTGAGTCATAACTCCAAGCTGTGTGGAAGTCATGAACTATAAATGAACTCATCCAAACAAGGACTGATATGATCTTAACATTATAACAGATGCATCATTATAGTCTTACCATCATACAGAATCTATTGGTTCAAACAAAGCTAACAAAAGTTGTGTGTGAAATTACTTTGTATGTATAAGCACAAGATAATTTCAGTAATTTCAGCCCCCATTCTAGATTATTACATTATCATTAGTACTCCTCAAAAAACGTGATGTACAATACAAGGTTGTTTACAGCAAAAATACTTAATTACAGGGTTTTTGAGGTGCACACTGTTTTAAAATCCCTCATTATTCATCATTTCTCACACACTTTCTGCAATGAATTCAGCTCAAAGAACAGACTCCATTCAAACTTGTTTGTAGACAGTTTCAGCTTTCAGTCTGTTATGGTATGCTGTATAATTTTGACTTCTTAAACTTTATTCATAGGAGAGCTCTGACTAGACTTTGACTTCCTTCAAGCTTTGGTTGGTACTGTAAATAATGTCAGCCTTGCATGTGTTATCTATTCTTTTCTTTATAAATTTGTTTACAGGCATCCAAAATTAAATCTTCTGTTTTTTAATTTTAAAATCTCCCATCACATTGTCAGAGCTTTCAGCACGTAAAATCTACCAGCAATAACGCTACTGTAAATAATTATAGATAGAACTTTGATGTAAAAGTTTGCATAAAATGTTTTTTCCTGTCTTGCAAGAACTGGTAATGAATTCAGGAAATCTAAATATGGTTACTTAAAACATTCTGTAAAATAAAATTAAAAAATCTTCTTCATCTGCTGCCTAAGGAAATCAACAAAGTAAAATCTCTTACCATCAAATATATTTTTTAAAGTGTCAGGAGTGAATATTTAAAGTCTATATTTTAATTTATTTATTCACTTTAATGTATTTATGATCATTTTCAACTTACAAGAAAGCCAGAGGAGTTGTTCAAAAGACATCTTAACCTGCAAACAAAATTTCGCTCCAGAAAGGTGGAGTTCTCTGGTGGCAACTGCTCTGGACTGTAGTATGTCTGAGGCAGCGGTGCATCCTGAGAAGCTTGACAAAAACAAAACAAAACTTGAATATAGAGAAAAGTATAGTTAAATACAAAACTGTTTAAAATTACACAACATAAAAAAAACAGGAAGATAATGCCCCTGCATCGGTGGCAGAATTTCGGCCCCTGCTGTGTAAGCATTTATATAACTCATTGACAGTAGTGTCCTTGCTGATGGCTGGATTATTGATAAGTGTGTGCGCTGTCTGGAACAGCTGTCCTGTGTGTATAGTTCTGACAATAACAGGCCTTTCAAACTGCCAAGTGTTAGATCTCTAATGAAAACTGATCCAGCTTGGTTGAGAATAAAAAGCTCAAACTGAAACCAGAGCAAAGTGGCACAGCCTTTAAACACCAGCCATTAGAGGCTGTTACACATACAAATCTGAATCCTCAGAGCACATATAACTGAAAACCATCTAGTAGGGTATTGGTTAAAAACATGGCCCATGATGAAAAAATAAAAATAAACACACAAACGTCTTTCTAAGAAAAAAAAACATTTGGATGTCTTATCAAATTGTCAAATTGAACAAAGACGATATTTCAGATCCATTGTGAAAAGGTCAATAAAAATGTATTATTTTTGTTTTAAAATCACGTTATGCATGGATTTATTTCCTGAAAATTGTAGAATAGGATGTTTTGTCTCGCACAATGGAACTTTGTCAAACTTTGTTTGCAGACACAAGCAATCCATCTTCTTTGACTCTTTGTGTTGATGGAATGGGGACAGAATCTTTCGGGCACAATGCCCAGGTCTGCTCATGGTCTGTCTGGAGAGATGTTTAGTTATTTTCTACCTTGCACTAGCTGTCCGGTGTCTGGGGTGCAGCTGGGGTTGAGTGCCCAGTAGAGCTGCCTCTGAAACTCAGCCCGGTCTTCAGTGTGAACGAGCTCATAAACACTCTGATGGATGAGATCCGACTGCAAAACAATCACATCGGCTTCACTCTAAGTAGATTCATAGCTGCTCATTACAGTTAGAAAATGTCCCAAACTGAATTAAGAAATCTGAATCTCAATGCTGAAATAAAGACCTGTTTTTATCAACCTGTTTTTATCTAAATGTGCTCAAAGCCTGCTTTGTCTGGCGGCACCCAAACATACTAATCCAAGTTCTTTCATGACAACTCTCGGCGGGACTGGCTTGGTAATGTACATGACGATGTTAATGTGTTTGGTCTTGGCGGAATAGATCTGCTAAGCTGCTGCTGCTGTGGCAGAGCAAGTACCAAGACTTGCTACTGCCAATACATCCGCAACATACCGCTGTGAGCATGTAAGAAATACTGCTGCTGCACATATAACATATGAAATAACCCCCATAGCATACATGAATCACCCTGTAGCAGATCTATACAGGTGGAGCTAGGGAAGGTGGAGGGTTTCTGAAATATGCAGCAACTGCATCATGTTTCACACTAGAATCATGTATGTGGGAATAAGCTGGAATTTCACACATAATAAATTCGGTTACACTTTACTTGAAGGGGTGTGCATAAGACTGACATGACACCTTCATAATCATGACATGACACCTACATAATCATGACATGACACGTCATGAATATGAAGGTTTTTTATGCATGTTTATGACAACTGTCATTAAGTGTCATTCGCTCAGTTATGTAATTTTTAATGCAAAGATGACATTGTCTGAGATGTCTGTTATGGGCTATGGTTAGGGGTAGGGTTAGGTCAAATAATGTCATATTTGCATTAAAAATGACATAACTGAGCGAATGACACTTAATGACAGTTGTCATAAACATGCATAAAACCTCCTTCATATCCATGACATATGTCATGTCATGATTATTAAGGTGTCATGTCAGTCTTATGCACACCCCTTCAAGTAAAGTGTAACCAATAAATAAATAAATAAAAACGAGAGCAAAAAGGCAGACAGGAATAATATGACCTACAAACAAAACAAGAAAAAGGGGAGCTAGAAAAATAACCAAAGCTGACAAACAAAAGTAAAATAAAAAGTAAAGAAACAAATCAGTAAGGTAAATAAGTTCTAGAAATAACTGGAAAGACTAGTCAAGGAAATATAACAACTCAAAGGAAAAAATAAAGACTTGAATGAAACAAGTCAAACTCAAGAGAAATCAAAAGATTTGATCCAAACAAAAGGAAAACCTGAAACTAGACTTGAGTAAAAACAGTGACAAAATAAACTTTAACTAATAAATACCCGACCTTAACAGACAGGGGAAAAGACTCTATTTAGTAAAGACCAGCTAGCGAGGTAAGCAAACACTAACTCACACACAAAACGAACCAGCAAACACATGAGGAAAATGAGCACAATAAATAGGGAGGAAAGCACACAAACACTAGGTGAGAACAATCAAGTAACGAGCACTAAACAAGGACTTAACGAGGGGGCGTGGTAATGTGAAACAAGCGGGCAGGACGAGAGGAGCACATGGCCAACATAAACAAAGACAAAGCGATGTGGTCATACACAGGACAAGCAAAGAAAAATTAAACAAGGACAAAACAGACAAAGCTGCCAGGGCAGAACCCTGACACTCGAGATCCTGTAACCCATGTTTATTCTTCCCTTTATAGTTTTGTGTTGGTTTTGGTTGTTTGTGTGTATTGTGAGTGTTGTATTTGGAGCATAGGGTCAGGATCTGGGGTCTGTTATTTGGACCTCGCTTAATACATCTACGATGATTTGACAAATGTCAATCGTGAGAACTGATCTCTGGCTAATTTTGTTCTTCAAACGCATTTGCGGATTTGATTCAAATATCTGGATTAAGTTGTCTGAGATTA